TGGGCAAGGGCAGTGTGTTCTTACCAGAAGCTTCCTGAGAGGGGAGGAGAGATTGATAGGAGCTGGAATAGAATATGGGGTCAAGGTGGAGGTTTCTTCCTGAGATGACAAGCCAGGGGTGTTTGGAGGGAAGGGCTAGTAGAGAAGCTAAAGGAGTAGTAGAGGAGGTGAGTTAACAGGATCCTGGAATAGCAAGCGGATGGTAAATATGGAGAGCTGAGCAGCAGGTAGCAGGGTGAGAGCTGCTTCCACGTGTACAGATGGATGTTAGAGGACTCCCTCTCCACTCCTGACCGCTGACTTCTCAGTGAATGCCTCCTATGCTGAGAGGTATCACAGAACATTTCAAGGGGGGTTAGAAACTTGGACTAGTAGACACAGACAATGGGAGAAGGCAGTGAGAGATGCTGATTGCTGAGCAGTGCTGAGAGCCAGCTGGGGTCATCTTTCTCCAGCTTGCTCAGTGGCTGTGCTGAAGGAACAGGTATTGATTAACAACTGATTCATGTCGGTATCTGGCAGGTGAAATCAAAGGCCAGATTTTACAACAGCATTGGGGACGAGGCCAGAAAGTGTTTGATTAAGTGATGCACCAAAGACAATGGTGAGGATACTGATAAGAGTAATCACAGAATTATCAAAATGGGAATGCCTGTAATCCCAGCACTTTGGGAGGCAAAGCTGGTGAACTGCTTGAGGTCAAGAGTTTGAGACCAGGCTAATCAACACGGTGAAACTCCATCTCTACAAAAAAATTAGCCAGGCATGGTGGCAGGCACCTGTAATCCCAGCTACTCAGGAGGCTGAGACAGGAGAATCACTCAAACCCGGGAGGCAGAGGTTGCAGTGAACCGAGATTGCACCACTACACTGCAATTGGGGTGACAGAGCCAGACTCCATCTCAAAAAAAAAAAAAAAAAAAAAGGAAAGTGTAAGCCCCACACGCTTTGATTGTCTTGATTAAAACCATGAACCCAGCAAGTCACAAACTATTATAAGATTTGATTAGAAGTGTGGGCAGGGAAGGAGTTTATTGACACTAACACAATTGCTTTTTAGAATACAAAGCTCTCAGTTGTCACCAGAAAGATGAGGGAGAAAACTGATATTTACAAGTAAGTTATAGTGGTGGGCATGCACATACATAGAAAAGCACACTAATCAGATTGGTTAAGGTCTGTGTAAGTTAGATATTTACCCACTTTGTATTTTGTCTTCATGAAATTGAGTTTCTGGCAGGTCTGCTTGCTATGACAGTTTGTCTTTTAAATGGAGATTATCTTAACCTCACAGATAGGATTACTACAAAGCCTGTTTTTTCATGTTTGTTGTGACAAACTCAATTTACTATATGTTATAGAATATTGCATTTGTTAGATGTTTAAGAATTGGGTTTATCTAGATTAAAATAATCATTGCAGTGTCCATGTGTATAGTTCACCAATGCTGACCTCATTAAATTCATTGTTTTTTTTTTGTTGTTGTTGTTTTATACGGAGTCTCACTCTGTCACCCAAGCTGGAGTACAGTGGTGCAATCTCAGCTCGCTCCAACCTCTGCCACTCAGGTTCAAGCTATTCTCCTGCCTAAGCCTCCCAAGTAGCTGGGATTACCCACCACGCCCGACTTATTTTGTGTATTTTTAGTAGAGATGGAATTTCAACATGTTGGCCAGGCTGGTCTCCAACTCCTGACCTCAGGTGATCTACCAGCCTTGGCCTCCCAAAGTGCTGGCATTATAAGCATGAGCCACCATACCTGGCCTCATTCTGTAACTCTATCATTTTATAGTGGCATCAATTCACTTGCTTTTCAGAGAGCACCAAAACCCTTTGTCTTTGCTTTCTCTCTACAGGCCTATTTGACCAAAATAAACTCAGTTTGTAATATACAACACAAGGCATGTTTCTTTGTCAACAATAATGAACATTTATTGACTACTTTTTTTTTTTTTTTTTGAGACAGAGTCTTGCTCTGTCACCAGGCTGGAGTGCAGTGGTGCAATCGTGGCTCACTGCAACCTCTGCCTCCTGGGTTCAAGCGATTCTTCCGCCTCACCCTCCTGAGTAGCTAGGACCACAGGGGCGTGTCACCACGCCTGGCTACTTTTTTTTTTTTTTTTTTTTTTTGTATTTTCAGTAGAGATGGGGTTTCACCGTATTGGCCAGGATGGTCTCGATTTCTTGACCTGGTGATCTGCCTGCCTCAGGCTCCCAAAGTGCTGGGATTACAGGTGTGAGCCACCGCACCCAGCCTATTGACTACTTTTTAAATGCCAGGCACCGTGCTAAGCACCTTTTCATACATTATCTTACTTGATCCCCACAACAGCCCTGTGGGATACGTATAACCATTATCCATCTCTTACGGATGAGGCTGAGTAACTTTTCCAATAATACTCTAATGGCATTATAAAGAACTGTTTGCCTTGGAGAAGTAGAGAAGTAAAAGCTATGAGGGAAAGACAGCCACAATAACTAACTTCAAATATCTAAGCAGATTTTTATTTTTAATTTCTTTTTTTTTTTAAATGCAGAGTTTCGCTCTGTCGCCCCAGGCTGGAGGCAATGGTATCTGGGCTCACTGCAACCTCTGCCTCCTGGGTTTAAGTGATTCTCCTGACTCAGCCTCCCGAGTAGCTGGGATTACAGGCATGCACCACCATGCCTGGCTAAATATCTGAGTAGATTCTTTGTATTGAGAGTGACTAGCTCCTTGAGTCATAGCACCAAGAGGTAAGGACCCAGGGGTGAAAGTGACAAAGAGAACATCCAAAATGAAAGAGAGTTTTCTAGTAAGATGCAATGTTGGAGAAGGAATTTAAGTATTGGATAGGGATTAAAGTAGACAGCCTTTGAGGGCATCTATCAACTGAGTCTACCATTCTCTTCCTTCTCTGTATTCTCCACTTGCTTTCAAGTCATCACATATATTGGTGCATTCATTCTTTTTTCCCATTCAATAAACATTTACTGACCTGCACTGTCCAATACAGCAGTCACTATCCACGTGTGGATATTTAAATAAATTTATTTATTTATTTTGTTTATTTATTTTTGAGATGGAGTCTCACTCTGTTGCCCAGGCTGGAGTGCAACGGTGAGATCTCGGCTCACGGCAACCTCCACCTCCCAGGTTCAAGTGATTCTCTTGCCTCAGCCTCCTGAGTAGTTGGGATTACAGGCACCCGCCACTTCACCAGGCTAATTTTTGTATTTTTAGTAGAGACAGGGTTTCAACATGTTAGCCAGGCTGGTCTCGAACTCCTGACCTTGTCATCCACCTGCCTCAGCTCCCAAAGTGCTGGGATTACAGGTATGAGCCACCGCGCCCAGTCATTATATTTATTAAAATTAAGTCAGGGCTGGCTGCAGTGGCTCACGCCTCTAATCCCAACACTTTGGGAGGCCGAGGTGGGTAGATCACCTGAGGTCAGGAGTTCAAGACCAGCCTGGGCAACACTGTGAAACCCCTTCGCTACAAAAATACAAAAATGAGCCAGGCATGATGGTAGGTTCCCGTTACCCCAGCTACTGAGGAGGCTGAGGCGGGAGAATTGTTTGAACCCGTGAGTCTGAAGTTGCAGTGAGCGATCGAACCACTGCACTCCAGCCTGAGCGACAGAGCAAGACTCCGTCTCACAAAAAGAAAAATTAAGTCCAACAAGAAATTCAGTTCCTCAATTGCACAGTAAGAACTAATGCTTACGCAGCTCTTTCTGTAAATCAAGCAGCTTCCCCCTCCCCACCCCCCCCACCCCCCCCCCACCCCCCGCCCAATAAACGTTTTGCATTCCTACAATCAGGCAGTTTGCTAAGCACTTTTTATGACTATCTGGTTCCATCTTCCTAACACCATTGAAATAGGTGCCATTATTATTACCATTTTGCAGACAGGGTAATAAGTTAAATAATTTGCCCAACCTAAGTAAAGAATACTGAGTAGGGTCACAAAGGAAGATGTGCTAACCTCCGTTTGGGGAGGTTAAGGAAGGTTTGAAGCAAGAAAGGACTAAAAACCGTTTGTCCACACCATGGTTACGGAACGTGTGGGCCACCGTCTACCTACGTTAGGATTACCTGGGGTGCTTTTTTTTTGCTCTTTTTTTTTTTTTTTGACAGAGTCTTGCTGTGTCGCCAGGCACCAGGCTGGAGTGCAGTGGCACAATCTCGGTTCACTGCAATCTCCACCTCCTGGGTTCAAGCAATTCTTCTGCCTCAGCCTACCGAGTAGCTGGGACTACAGGCGCGCGCCACCACCTCCAGCTAATTTTTGTATTTTTCAGTAGAGACCTGGTTTCACCATGTTGGCCAGGATGGTCTCCATCTCTTGACCTCGTGATCCGCCCGCCTCGGCCTCCCAAAGTGCTGGGATTACAGGCGTGAGCCACGGCGCCCGGCCGGGGGTGCTCTTTTTAAAAAAGTGCAGATTCCCTGACTCCCAATTTGACTCTCTGTGGGCGGGGCCTGGTTTTTAACCAGATCCCCGTCCCCGCCCCAGCAATTCTTTTCCGTTCACTAAACGAGGTTCAGAAACTGCTGGTCCACGCCGCATAGTTCTCTTTATTCTGCTTTCCCTCGCGGTTCCCTTGCCTTTGACCTCACTACGGATCACGGTTGGAGGCCGCGCTGCGTAACTTTGGGCCAGACTCTGCAAGCCTCAGTTTCCCCGTGTAAAATGCGGAGCCCGGGCCCGTGGCGCAGCTGCCCGGCGGCCCAGCACGTCAGCCGCCTGGCGCACAGAGGGCGCTACCCCAGCGCGGCCCCCGCCAAGCCGCCCGGGTCCCGTCCCTCTCGGCCAGCCCGGGCTGCCTACCCTCGCAGATCTGCTCCCACAGATTCTTGCCCGACGGCTCGGCGACCTGCCATGGCGAGATAGGCAGCTCGCGGGACCCGAGAGACAAGTTGTGCACCGGCGTCCGGGTGAACGACGAGTTTGCAGAGCTGCTGGGCTTGTGCTGAACATTGTAGCTGGGGACCTGCCGCGGCGCTGCCATGGCCACGGTTTCCAAGGTAACCGCGTTCGCCGGAAGGCCGCGACCCGGAAGAAGCCGGAATCGGAGAGGGTGGGCCAGCGACTCAAAGTGGACTTCCGGGTCACGGCGGAGCGGGCTCTCACGTGGAGGCGCGGAAGTTTGGCCCACGGGTGAGTGCCAGGGCGTGTTTCAGGCGGGCGGCCTCGGTGTTTGCCCCTGGGGAAGTGCACCCCGGAGAAGAGAGGGAAAAGCGGACCACCCACATTCCCAAATCCTACCCCTCCGGTTGGTGTGCGCCCGCCCCGGCCTGAGGCCGCCGCCTCCAGGAGGTTTTCCCGCCTCGGAGCCGGGCCTGGGACCGCACGTAATCCCTCCCTGTCTGTTGCTGCGGAGGCTTTGGCCCCTGGCGTTCCTAGAGGCACAGACCTCACTTCCTGGCTCCCGCGCGTCCTACTGGTGATCCTGCGGGGGAGTGGGGTGTTGCTGCACAGGCTTTGGAGTCCTGTGGGCGGAATTCGAATCTTCGTTTTCCACTTGCTGGTTTTGGAACCTAGGGCAAGTGAATCATTAAAGTCCCTGGAGCTTGTTAAGGTCGGGTATTCACTGTGATCCTCACATGGCTGCCGCGGGAACTTAAAGGGCGCTTTTTGCAGAAAGCGTTTATGTTTGCAGGAGATGCACTGTAATGTTCTTTTCCTTTCTCCTTGAAAGAGTGAATGCATTTGGTCGCAGAGATAGAGAGGAAGATGCAATAATTTTCTAAGTGGCAGAGATGGGGAGAGAAGGAGATTGAGTTGACACCCCAACCTCCAGGTGGATTCTTTGTTCTTGACAGATCTCTTGGCCACTCCCCTATCAGAAGTCGTCTTGGCTTTCTTGGCTACACTCTTTATAGGTTTGCACTTTCTCCTTGGCAAGCCACTTTTCCTCTGCCCGCTTATTTAAATGCCAGTACAATAGTCCCGCTCTCCCCTTATCCGCGGTCAGTACGTTTCTAAACACTCTGTGGATACCTGAAACCACAAATAGTACTGAACCCTAAGTATATTTTTTTCTTGTGTATACTACCCATGACAAAGTTTATAAATTAGGCACAGGAGGGCTGGGCATGGTGGCTCACGCCTGTATTCCTAGCACTTTGGGAGGCCGAGGTGGGCGAATCACCTGAGGCCAGCAGTTGGAGACCAGCCTGCCAACATAGTGAAACCCAGTCCCTACTAAAAATGCAAAAATTAGCCGAGCCTGTAGTATATTGCCTGTAATCCCAGCTATTGGGGAGGCTGAGGCGTGAGAATTGCTTGAACCTGGGAGGTGGAGGTCGCAGTGAGCCGAGATCATGCCACTGCACTCCAGCCTGGGCAACAAGAGTGAGACCCTGTCTCAAGAAAAGGTACAATAAAAGATTACCAACTATCTAGCTAGTAATAAAACAGAATAATTACAGTATACTGTAATAAAAGTTACATGTATGTGGTCTCCCTCTCAAAATATCTTCACCTGTACTGTGCTCACCTATTTTGGGATCAGGGTTAACCAGGGGTAACTGAAACCTGGGAAGGGAAACTGGGATTTGAGGCACTGTTGAGGACCATTAGGTTTACCATGACTCCTTTGTGGAGGATGCTTGTAGTTTGTAATTAGTCATAGGCAGGCAACAGCTGCCTACCTGGTATATGCCTGAGTTCTGTGTATATTGAAAACACCTGTGTGTTAATACGAATCACCTGTAAAAGAGCAAATAAATACGTGGATGGATCTCTGCCCAGGGCTTTCAGTCCTGGAGACTGCAAGCGTTGCAGACTCTCAGGCTGTTGTCTATCTGGGTCAGTGCTGCTCTACCTTGCACCTTCAGCTTGTCCTGGGTGGGAGTCTCCTGGCCGAGCTGGTTCTTGGTAAGGGACTACTGTATTTCTTGAAATCTTGTCTCAGGCTTGTTGTGTTCAAGGCTTAATCACCACCCATATCTTCCTAAATTTATGTCACCCCTGCCACCCAAACACCTCCTCCATATATTCATCTGTCCTGTGAACATCTCCAAAGCATCTGTCCAATCAAGCCTTTCCCCTCAGCCCTTCAGCCGCTTGCCTTCAGTACCTTTGTCTTAGGGATTAATATCACCATCCTGCAGTTATTCTTCAGAAATTTTCTTGACAACTGATAGGACAGGTTACATAACCTCCACCTCCCTGACCTTACCACTGTCCTAGCTTTCATCACCTGTATCATTGTTACTACGCCTCATTCCCTCCTACATCTACTTGCTGCTTTATGGGTGATGTGTTTCCTTGTTCATCTCTGCATCTCTAGCATGAATTCATTCAGTGAGTATTGAGCACCTGATATGTGCTAGGCACTGAGTAGGACACTGAAAATAAACCAGGAAACAGGGTAGACAGGAATGAATGAGTGAGTGTAGTTATTCCCTTGACTCTCCAGGTGCTCCAGGAGTGGGTTATGAATGAACTTGACAAGTAGCTCAGGCCTGGCTTGGCTCTTTGAAGCTGCTAAGAGTGCACTAGCTCCAGTGTGGACCCTCTAGGTTCTGAAGCTGAGGAGGGCTGCAGGATGGAGAAGCTTTTCCTTTCTCTCCCATAATCCTAACCTCCTGTGAGGGGATATTTTGCTTCTAGATTCTGGGAATGTCTAGTGCAGGGAGCAGCAGGAACTTGGCTGGGGACTGGAGTGAGAGAAGTGGCCCAGCTGGACGCTGAAGGGTATTGAGGACCCCAGCCCATTCTCACAGGTGTTTCCATGACATCTGTCCAAGACAAGCTGGGCACCCTAGGTACTGTGTATCATTGTGACTCATTCAGTGTTGGCAATCAACTTGAAATTTTAAAAACAGTGAAACTAGGTCAGGCACAGTGGCTTATGCCTGTAATCCCAGCACTTTGGAAGGTTGACACGGGTGGTCACTTGAGGTCAGGAGTTCAAGACCAGCCTGGCCAACATGGTGAAATCCCTTCTCTATTAAAAAAGAAAGAAAAACTTAGCTGGGCATGATCACAGGTGCCTGTTATCCCAGCTACTCAGGGAAGGCTGAGGCAGGAGAATCACTGGAACCCAGGAGGCGGAGGTGGCAATGAGCCTTGATCGTACCACTGCGCTCCAGCCTGGGTGACAGAGCAAAACTCTCTCTCGAAAAAAGAAAAAGGGAATTAACAATGTACCAAGCGCTTTCCATGGATTATCACATTTATTCTTCCAACATCCCTTTGAGGAAGCAGGTGTTCCCCCATTTTCCAGATGGATAAATTGAGGCGCAGGGAGGTTAGCTGATTCACTTAAGGTGAGAGAGCCATTTAGGTGTGAACCTAGGGCTGTCTGTATTTAAAATTTATGCTGTTTCTATTGTGTTTCTTTTTTTGTTGTTCTAAAGGAATCATGTCCATTTTCCCTATCCCCTAACACTTAGACCACCCGCTCACAGAAACATGGTTCTTGGCAATTGCTTAGTAGAATTGAACACAGGATGGCTTGGTATAGGGGTTACTTATACCATTTCTTTTTTCAGGAATGATCACCAAGACACACAAAGTAGACTTGTTTGCTGGGCTCCCAGAGAAGAAGAAGAAAAAGAAGAAGAAGAAGAAAGTGGTCAAAGAACCAGAGACTCCGCGCTCAGTTTTAAACAATGAAGATTACTTTGCTGATGTTTGTCCTATAAGAGCCACATCCCCCTGTAAGAGTTCGGTTCACGGGCAGGCACCTGAGATGCCTCTGGTGAAGAAAAAGAAGAAAAAGAAGAGCGTCAGCACGCTTTGTGAGGAGCAAGTAGAGTCTGAGACCATGCTGCGTGCCAGGCGGACAGAGAAGTCACGCAGCCCCAGGAAGCAGGTACTTGGCCACTTAGAGTTCGTCAGTGGAGAGAAGAAAAGGAAGAAGTCACCTGTGGCCACGTCCCATGCCTCTGGACTGAAAACCTCCCCAGACCCCAGACAGGGTAAGGAGGAAACCAGATTTGGCAAGAAGCTCAAAAAACACAAGAAGGAAAAAAAAGGGACCCAGGAACCCACAGCCGTCTCAGTCCGGGACCCCTGGGTCTGTGAGGCCGGGGATGCTGGGGACACTTGCTCAGTGGGGAAGGAGGGTAAGGAACAGGCAGTCGTGGGGCAGAAACGGAAGCAGAAGAGCCCCAGGGAACACAGTGAGAAAGTGAAAAAGAAAAAAAAAATCCACCAGGAGGGAGAGGCCCTCCCAGGCCACTCTCAGCCCTCCAGGTCCATGGAGAGCAGCCCTAGGAGAGGAAAGAAAAAGAAGCCAGTCAAAGTTGAGGTTCCGGAGTACATCCCCATAGGAGATGGCCCGAAGGCCCCTGTGAAGAAAAAGATGAAGTCCAAGAAGAAGGTAGAGCAGCCAGTCATCGAGGAGCCAGCGCTGAAAAGGAAGAAAAAGAAGAGCAAAGAGAGTGGGGTAGCCGGAGACCCTTGGAAGGAGGTAGGTTTTCCTTCGGAAGTGGACTCTGCCACTGGAGAATTAAGGGTGGGGTTTGGGAGGGGTGTGTATGCACGTGTGTGCGTGTTTGCACATGCATGAGTTCTCATACTTTGAGCTGCCAGAGCCCTGGTTGATTTCAGCCAGAGTAGGGAGTTTATTGCATGCAATTGGAAAGATGGTTTAGCTAGCTTCGGATATCCAGGGGTTTATGCAGTATCGTTGATAATGATAGGTATCCTTTGCTGCTGAAGCCACCTAAGTTGTCCCTCTCTGCAGTCGGGGTCTGATGAATTCAGAGGAATCCCTTGCTTTCTGAACTCTTGCCACTTGCTATCCAAAACTAAGGAACCAAGTTAGGTGAGATAGCGTAGTATCTGTAGCTATCTGAGTACCATCAGAGTTCAGTATACACAGCTTGTAGATCAAATAGATTTGGGTAGCAGGAGATGCCTGTACGAGATTTCCTCAGCTCTGGGCTTTGTATTTTCCTCCTCCTCCCCCTCCCCCTCCTCACTGTCCCCTGGGTTAGATGTGGTTAGAATCCTCAGTCCCTGAGATAACCTTTTAGTTCCTTTCCCTGTCTGAACTTCAGTTTCTTCATCTGTCAAATAGGTTAGTACCATGTTTTGGAGAAGAATTGTGGAAGAGAACGGATGGGAAGGGCTTTGCCGACTATGAGATGTTTCTAGGTGGGAAGGCCGAGGCTGATGCCTTGCTCTGAGGTCTTTTCTGGACTTTGTCATGATCTCACCCTGGCTGGGTGCAGGGGCAGAGGACATTCATCGTGAACTTGAACCTTACCCAGCTCTGCCCTCTCCTGCAGGACGCAGACACGGACTTAGAGGTGGTGTTGGAAAAGAAAGGCAACATGGACGAGGCGCACATAGACCAGGTATAGCCCGGACCCTCCTCAGGCCCTCTGCTGCCTCCTGCCACCCCCTGGAGTCTCACTCGCCGTCTGCCAGGCTGGCTCCATGATCCTGGTTTCGGGCACCAGGGACTGCAGAGGCCACTGGGCCAGCCTTCAATGCACACCTCTCAGGCAGGGAGTGCGTGCCCTCCCCATTCTCATGCTGGGGGCCTTGCCGCCGGCTGCCGTGGCTGTGGCCAAGAGGCCGATTGGCCATCCCCACTTGCTGCAGGATGTGGGGAGTGTGTCCCTAACACCCTGCAGCTGAGCAGGTGGACACATGCTCAGCCAGGTCCACAGGCTGCCACCCCCTGGGCTAATTCAGGAGCATGTAGAGGAGAAGTTTTGTTGTGAATCAGCTTCCGTTTCTGTCATGCCCAGATCCCCTGGCAAATGCATCCCTTGTGGGAAGTGGACTTTCTGGCCTGCCAGGACATAGGGGTAACCATATAGGCCTGGTGTTAGACAGTTACTGATTGGGAGACCTGGGTGGGCACTAACCTCACTGACCCTCATTTTTCCCCTCTGTGAAGTAGGGATCATGACAGCATGGACCTTCACAGGTTGCTGTGAGGACCAATGAGGTCATGTTTGTGCAGCAGTCAGCAGTGGCCACCTCATGTCTGTGCCTAAGAAATGGCAGCAGTTACTCGCTGAATCGGTGTGCCAGGGTGGCCTTGGGCCATACTAGCAACCATGTATAAGATGGAACTACTGTGTGCCAGGTGCTTTACTAGGTACTTTCCGTTGATATTTCTGTTTTTCTTTACGCTTTAAGGTAGCTGATAGGTCCATTTATTGTGGAGAAATAGACCAGAAAGGTGGAGTGAGTTACCCAAGGTCACACAGCTAGTTAATGGCAGTGCTGGGATTCAAACTTGCCTCTGGACAGGCGTGGTGGCCCACACCTGTAATCCTAGCACTTTGGGAGGCCAAGGCAGGTGGATCATTTGAGGCCAGGAGTTCGAGACCAGCCTGGCCAGCATGGCGAAACCACCTCTCTACTAAAAATACAAAAATTAGCCAGGTGCAGTGGCGTATGCCTGTAGTCCCCGCTACATGGGAGGCTTGGGCAGAAGAATCACTTGAGCCTGGGAGGCAGAGGTTGTCTTGAGCCCAGATTGCACCACCACACACCAGCCTGGGCGACAGAGCAAGACTCTGTCTCAGTAAATAAATACCTACATACAAACCAACCTCTGCCTGGCTCTACAGCCTGTTTTCTTTGTAGAAGACACTTTTTATCATCACAAAAGTTAACAATGGTGTCCTCTGCACAAGAAGGCATTGCCTTGGCATTGCGTTTGGGGAAGGTCTCCACGTCACATGGCTGTTAAACTGTTCTAACGGTGAAGGCGGTTGAGGTTCAGTTTCTAGGAAAATTCCTTCTTAAGAAACCCTGACTAAAGAGGATAAATGAGCCTGCGCAGTGTAGGCCAAGGGACCTCAGCCCTCGAGATGCTGAGAGGATACTTTTGACACCAGCTTCCCATTGTTGGTAGCACAGTCAGGCTGTGTTAGTTCTTCCCACGTGCCGTTCCCCCGGCCTGTCTCTGTCCTGGTTTAAGCCTGAAGAAGACCTCTGTGTCTGACGGCCCTCTTCTTTAATCCTTGCGCAGGTGAGGCGAAAGGCCTTGCAGGAAGAGATTGATCGCGAGTCAGGCAAAACGGAAGCTTCTGAAACCAGGAAGTTGACGGTAAGTTCGGGGCTTGGCCTCCTCTCGCCTCCAGCATGGGGAGTGGAGCAGGGGAACCCAGTGTGTCCAGGCCCCAGAGGCAGCCCAGCCTGCAGTTGGCTCCCTCCACAGCAGAACTTGTCCTAAGCTAATTTCCTTCCTTCTGAAGAGGCACTTGCCTCCCTCCTGGAGAGCTGGCTCCATGAGATAAGCTGCCTGAACCTTTGTCTCAGCCCTGGACTGGTAGGGTGTCCCAGGGATTAGTCACGGTGGACACATTCCAGCGAGCTCTTACCAGCGGTGGACAGTGGCCTCAGAGGGCTGCTAGGAACAGGGGCAGGAGGCAGAGGCGACGGGGTGGTAGCGGCCTTTCTCAGATGCACTTTCACTGGGAAACGTCCAAGCTAGGCCTGGAGTGACCTCTTGAGAGGGAAGATGGTGCAAGGATCATGAGGCTGGAGAGCGGGAGGCTGGCAGGCCGGGGCCCTGGCAGGGCTCAGTGGGGCTGTGTGCTGGGCGCTGGACACGGAGCAGATGAAGCCCACATGATCCCCATCGTCATGCTCACTGTCTAGAGGCCAGAGGAGGGTGATGGGCAGGGAAATGCTTAGCAAACAGGAAAAGGAAGGTTAGTTCAGGTGGCAGTAGGCCTCAGGAGAAGGACGGAACAGTGAGGTGGAGAGAGGCTGTGCGTGGGGTCTGCAGCAGATGGGACGAGGGCTGGGAGACGCCGATGCCTGTCCAGACACGTTCAGGGTGCAGAGGCTGCAGCCTGCAGGAGCCCAGGGGAAGAGCGTTTCCATCAGGCCAGTGGCCCGCGTGGAGCCCTAAGGTAGGAAAGGGCCTGGTGTGATCTGTAGGGAAGGCCAGCGGGTGGTACTGCGGCTGGAACGAGGGATGAGAGGGCTGCAGGCCACAGGCCTCGGCCTCAGCCTCAGCGGCCGGAGTAGAAAGCTGGCCTGGGGCCCGGCTGAGTGGGGGCAGCTGGAGGGCATTGACTGGGCAAGCGGGAAGCCCTGGGAGAAGGCGCAGCCTGCAGACACTGCAACCTGAGGATGGCGGCAGCGGATAGAGAAAACAGCTGCGTGGTTTATTTCCGAGGCACAGCTGGCAGGACTTGATCATAGGTTGGATTTTGGGGAGAGGAAAGGAAGGGTCCAGATGACCATTGAGGCTGGCCTTCAGGCTCTGTCTTCCACTGTCAGTGCATTCAGCAGAAAAGAACAGTTGATTCAGATCAAAAGATCTGAAATCACTTCCTGGCTCTGCAACTTTCTAGGTGGGGAACTCTGGGCAGGTACCTTCCCCTGAGCCTCTAGTGTTCACGCTGTAAAATGGGACTCGTACCTTGGCATGGTGGGGTATGGAGTGGGGATTTGTTATGCGTCCTGCCTCGGGGTGCCCTTTCTCTCTATACCCACCTGCTGGGCTGAGCCAAGCTGATGAGACACCCAACTTGCAGAGGGAAGGCAAGAAACAAGGCAGTGTGATTCGGAGCTGATGTCCGGGGGCCTGTCCCTGGAAGGACGTGATGGCAGGAGAGTGATCCTGGGGCTGAGGTGCAGGGACATACCATGCCACTGAGACGTGTGGTGGTCCAGGGGCCCTCTGGGTGGGCAGCAGTTGTTGGAACTGCTGGTTCACCCAGGTCCAGCTAGCAGTCTCCTGCTCTCCCCAGAACCCGCGTGAGACGGTCACAGGTGATCTCTCACTCTAGAAACTGCAGGGCAGGGGAACTGTCCTTATTTTGCCATCTGGGCCACCGTGAAGCTGGGAGGATGTGTCACCAGTTCACTCAGGGCAGCTCTAGTGACAACTGGTTCTTGTTCTCCCAAGGCCAACCCGGAAATAAGTGCTGGGCTGGCATCTGGCTTGTGAGAGAAAAGTTCCAAGTTCCCAGGCAGCGTGGGGCTCAGCAGTGTGGTTGGGGTGGGAAGAGGAGTGACCGGTGACTGAGGCCTTCGGGTCTACCATGCATTGTGCACTGGGCTTTTGGCATCAAATCCAATGTACGTCTCACTGAAGCCCTGGGGATTTTATGACCCCAGCTTAGCGATGAGGACGCCGAGGCTGAGAGAGGTTAGGGGACTTGACCTGGGAAACCCAGGTGAGGCGTCCTCCCAGGTCCGCGTGATGTCAGAGTAACAGACTTCTTGGGGGTGGTTTCTTTCCTATTTGACTGACCTGGGGAGAAGGGGGTCTGGAGGGGCTCTCCTGCATTCTCTTGAGTAGGGGTGGTAGACCACTTGGGCTGGAATGGGGACCCCCGAGTTCCTGGGCTAGGGTGAGTCTGACTTGGCTGTTGGACCCTTTAAAACAGGGCTTCTGAGAGGCACATTTCAGATCCCCACTTAACACCTGCCGTGCTCGAAATGAACCAAATGTTAGGCTGATGCTACCTGAGGGCCTGCCCCACCCTGCTGCTGGGCTGTGGGTTGCCTGTTGTGGGACTTGTGCCTTGTGGGGAGGTGGGAGGGAGGACATTGTGTAGGGAGGTGGGGGAGTACACGGTGTAGGGAGGTCGGGGGAGGTGCCCTGTGTAGGGAGGTTTGGGGAGTACACTTTGTAGGGAGGTGGGGGGAATACACTGTGTAGGGAGATGGAGGGAGTACACTGTGTACGGAGGTGGAGGCAGTACACTCTGTAGGGAGGTCGGGGTAGGTGCCCTGTGTAGGGAGGTTTGGGGAGTACACTGTATACGGAGGTGAGGGGAGGTGACCTGTGTAGGGTGGTGGGTGGAATACACTGTGTAGGATGGTGGAGGTGGAGGGAGGTGCCCTGTATAGGGAGGTGGACTGAGTACACTGTGTAGGGAGGTGGGGGAAGTGCCCTGTGTAGGGAGGTGGGGGGAGGTACCTTGTGTAGGGAGGTGGAGGGAGTATACTGTGTACAAAGATGGAGGGAGTACACTGTGTAGGGAGGTGGAGGGAGGTGCCTGGTGGAGGGAGGTGCCCTGTGTAGGGAGGAGGAGGGAGTATACTGTGTAGGAAGATGGAGGGAGTACACTGTGTAGGGAGGTGGAGGGAGTACACTGTTTAGGGAGGTGGAGGTGGAGGGAGGTGCCCTGTGTAGGGAGGTGGAGGTGGAGGAAGGTACCCTGTGTAGGGAGGTGGAAGGAGTACAATGTGTAGGGAAGTGGAGGGAGTATACTGTGTAGGGAAGTGGAGGGAGTACACTGTGTAGGGAGGTGGAGGTGGAGGGAGGTACCCTGTGTAGGGAGATGGAGGGAGTACACTGTGTAGGGAGGTGGAGGCAGGTGCCCTGTGTACTGAGGTGCGGATGGTGCCCTATGTAAGGAGGTGGTGGCAGTACACTCTGTAGGGAGGTCGGGGTAGGTGCCCTGTGTAGGGAGGTTTGGGGAGTACACTGTATACGGAGGTGAGGGGAGGTGACCTGTGTAGGGTGGGGGGTGGAATACACTGTGTAGGGTGGTGGAGGTGGAGGGAGGTGCCCTGTATAGGGAGGTGGACTGAGTACACTGTGTAGGGAGGTGGGGGAAGTGCCCTGTGTAGGGAGGTGGAGGGAGTACATTGTGTAGGGAGGTGGGGGGAGGTACCTTGTGTAGGGGGGTGGAGGGAGTATACTGTGTTCAAAGGTGGAGGGAGTACACTGTGTAGGGAGGTGGAGGGAGGTGCCTGGTGGAGGGAGGTGACCTGTGTAGGGAGGAGGAGGGAGTGTACTGTGTGGGAAGATGGAGGGAGTACACTGTTTAGGGAGGTGGAGGTGGAGGGAGGTGCCCTGTGTAGGGAGGTGGAGGGAGTACACTGTGTAGGGAGGTGGAGTACACTGTAAGGTGGTGGAGGGAGTATACTGTATAGGGAGTTGGAGGGGGTATGCTGTGTAGGGAGGTGGAGATGGAAGTGCCCTGTGGAGGGAGTACACTGTGTAGGGAGGTGGAGATGGAGGGAGGTGCCCTATGTAGGGAGGTGGAGGGAGTACACTGTATAGGGAGGTGGAGTATACTGTGTAGGGAGGTGGAGGGAATGCACTGTGTAGGGAGGTGAAGGGAGTACACTGTGTAAGGAGGTGGAGGTGGAGGGAGATGCCCTGTATAGGGTGGTGGAGGGAGTACACTGTGTAGGGAGGTCGGGGGAGATGCTCTGTGTAGGGAGGTGGAGTACACTGCCTAGGGAGGTGGGGGGAGTACACTGTGTAGCGAGGTGGACGGAGTACACTGTCTAGAGAAGTCGGGGGAGGTGCCCTGTATAGGGAGGTGGATGGAGGTTCCCTGTGTAGGGAGGTGGAGGGAGTACACTGTGTAGGGAGGTGGAGGGAGGTGCCCTGTGTAGGGATGTGGGGGGAGGTACCCTGTGTAGGGAGGTGGAAGGAGTACACTGTGTAAGGAAGTGGAGGGAGTACACTGTGTATGGAGGTGGAGGGAGATACCCTGTGTAGGGAGGTGGAGGGAGTACACTGTGTAGGGAGGTGGAGGCAGGTGCCCTGTGTACTGAGGTGCGGATGGTGCCCTATGTAAGGAGGTGGAGGGAGTACACTCTGTAGGGAGGCGGAGTACAGTGTGTAGGGAGGTGGAGGGAGTACACTGTAAAGGGAGGCGGAGTACACTATGTGGGGAGATGGAGGGAGTACACTGTGTAAGGAGGTGGAGGGAGTACACTGTGTGGGGTGGTGCAGGGAATACGCTGTGTAGGGAGGTGAGGGGGAGGGAGTGCACAGTGTAGGGAGATGGAGGCAATACACTGTGTAGGGATATGAAGGGAGTACACTGTGTAGGGAGGTGGAGGGAGTACACTGTGTAGGGAGGTGAGGGGAGGTGACCTGTGTAGGGAGGTGGACCGAGTACCCTGTGTAGGGAGGTGGGGGAGGTGCCCTGTGTAGGGATGTGGGGGGAGGTGCCGTGTGTAGGTAGGTGGAGGGGCTACACTGTGTACGGATGTGGAAGGAGTACACTGTGTAGAGAGGTGGAGGGAGTACACTGTGTACGGAGGTGGAGAGAGTACACTGTGTAGGGAGGTGGGTCGAGTACACTGTGTAGGGAGGTGGAGATTGAGGGAGGTGCCCTG